TGAGCGGAAACCAGATTCAAGAATGGTCGCTTTCATTTGATCGAAAGAGTGGCCCGGCATGCGAACGTGTCGTGATAGCGGTAGATGAGGGAATATATTTACATGGGATTTGTGGTTATTAAAGCGTATTCTGAATGGAGTTTCAGTATGACCAATATATTGTTTCAAACAGGCACTACATTCCAACATGTATACGGCATTATAAGTGTCGCAGTCGAAGCTACCACGAATCTTTAATTTAAAGTCCGAAGACGTGCTCGCGGCGTTTTGCGTGGTTTGCATGTGCACACACACTTTGCACCGTGGTTTGTTACAAGGTGCACAGCCACTCTCTTTACGGGTACCAATTTTAGATGACGTTAACATGTCGTGAAGGTTTTTTGACCGTCGGTAAACAACACGAGGCGGAACAGAAAAAATTTTTTTGAGATTATCACTTTCGGTTAAGATGTTGTGGTGCCGTTTCAATATAGCAGATACCTTAGGAGCTGATGATGAAAATGTCAGAACAAGGTTAGTTTGAGCAGAGCTATCGTTCCCGTCCTTTCCTTTCAGAATCTCAGTGCGGTTGAGTTGGTCAGCTCGAGTTATGGCATCGTCTATTAGTTTTTCCGGGTATTTTCTTTTTACTAGAGAACTTTTGAGCCTATTACAATTTTCAATGAAATCTGTACGGTCAGAGCACAACCGTTTTAAAGCGGTGAGCCTGGCTATAGGGAATTCCTGTTTTGCAATGCCGGGGGTGGCCACTCTGAAAATGCAGGAGTTGATGTCGGTCAGTAGGCTTGCGGAACAGCTTCGTAGCAAGTTGTCCTTCGGAAATGGTGACTGTGACATCGAGAAAATTTACAGAAGTGCGCGAAAATTGGTGCGAGAACTTAATAGACGGATGGAAATTATTAAACTTTTGAATGAAACCAAGCAGACTTGCTTCATCATGTGTCCAGACAAGAAAAATATCGTCAATGAAGCGCCTATAGTAGAGAGGTTGAAGCATGTTTTTACCTAAAAATTCGCATTCCAGAATGCCCATAAAAATGTTGGCGTAGTTAGGGCCTACTTTCGTACCCATTGAGGTGCCGTTGGCTTGTACATAGTGAATATTGTTAAACTCAAAATTGTTTAATTCAAGGATAAGTTTCAAAAGAGTACCAAGCGCTTCTTTATCAATAGTTTTATCTAAAGGGGAATTTTCATAGGCCTTTATTACTGCAGAAATACCATCTTTATGCGGTATGTTGGTGTATAGTGATGCTACGTCCAGCGTTACTAACATTGAACCAGATGGAACATGAAGATCTACAATTTCTTGAAGGAAATGGTTGGTGTCTTTGATGAATGACGGAAATGTGGCTGGAATCTTGTTTATGAGGGAGTCAACGTAACGAGATAAATTTTCGGTAACGGTGCCGATTCCGGAAATGATGGGGCGGCCGGGATTATTCTGCTTGTGAATTTTAGGAAGCATATAAAATCTTCCCGCTACGGGACTGAGTGGTACCAAAGAGCGGACTGTCTTTTCATCTAATTTACCATGTTCTAGTAAAGACGTAAGTGCGTCCTTAAGCTTAGATTTAAATTCGCTGGTAGGATCGGAGGGCAAAGCTTTGTAAAAAGTGGCATCTGAAAGTTGCCTCTCGGCCTCGCTTATATAATCAACCGCGTTGAGAATTACAATGGCCCCCCCTTTATCGGCTGGTTTGATGACGATGTCATGGTTTGTCGACAACTGTTCGAGAGCAACCTTCTCTTTTTTGGACAAATTGTGGCGGTAAGGCGCAGTTTTCTTATAGGCAGCGAAAATGTCGCGTTGTACAGCGTTTATGTAAATGTCAAGACATCTGTCGCGATGTGGTGGGGGTGTCCATTGTTTATATGTCGGTAGTGCAGGTCTGGTTTCATTCGGGCTTCGGCGGTCATGATAGTATTCTCTCAGACGCAAATTACGGGAAAAGTTGTGTAGATCCTTCAGAAGTTGAAACTCGTTGAAGCCACCTGAAGCGGGGCAAAAGTTGAGGCCCTTTGACAGAGCACCCATTTGTTCGTTGGAAAGAACTATGTTTGAAAGGTTTACAACGCTGCTATCTATTTGAGAAGACTGGTCTTTCGAATCATTCGAACGTGTTGCGGCGCGTTTGGTCACCTCAAATTCGCGTTCGTGCGTACATAAACCATCACGTAGAAACTTCTTCTGTTTAGTTGTGTTTAACTTGTTCCTCTTACGTTCTTCATAGGCAATTAAACATTCAGACTCATGCACTGCTAGCTTCTTTAACAGGCGAGCTTCTGTATGCTGAAGGTCTTGCGTGCAAGATTTATAATGGTCAATAATTATGGGTATGAGATCTAAGGACGCTTTACTTAACACTTCTTGCCATTTGGTTTTGTTAGAGGCCGAAAGTTCAGAAGTAGCTGGTTTAAATCTTATCTGTAAACCTTTCGGGACCACCGAAGCATTCAAGTAGCTCGTAAGTGAGGATACGTGTAGCTCGGAACGAACTCTTTTCTCAATAATTTTCCTAGCTTCTAAAAACTCTCGCGAAGGAAGACTTGAAACATTGCCTTTAAGCGTAGGCGCCTGCCGTCAGTCGGTGGCACTCCCTCGACCGGCGTTCCGGCGGGTAGGGTAGCGATGACCCGTGGTGGCGGGAGCCTCAGTTCGGTTTTGCCGAGTTGTGTCTTGGCTTGAAGAACCGGAGTTGTGTGTAGCACCCGCAGGGGACGTTTGTTGGCGCCTCCTGGGGGACGTCGGCGTAGATCGTTCTGGGGGTTCGCAAGGTGGGCAGTCACGCCATGATGATGTAGTTCCTAGGAAACGTTTGCAGCAGAGTTCGCGAATGTGGCTGGCGATGATGGCAACACCTTCGAAGCTTAGATGAAGACCATCAGCTGCCAACACACGTGTCAGGGGCAGCCAGTGGAGACCATGATCGACGAAAAAAACTTTCTTGGAGCGCCTACAGTAGTTGTGCAGCAGTCGGTTGAAGTACGTGGCTTCCATATTGCACCGGTAAACAAATGAAAGGTTGCCGTTGCCATTACGGCGGTTAGGGCAGCGTGGAAGAACGAGTGTTGCGTAAATCCTTGAAATGTGAGGCTTGGCGTTCATAACGTGCTCCAGCAGGGATCGGTATCTTCCGAATGCTACAGCAGCACTTGTTGAAGCGATGTCGTTGGTACCAATGTGGAGAACGAGGGCGGTTGCGGATTCTGGCACAAAGTGAAGTAAAGACCGCACGTCGGAGATATGCGCACCCACTTGAGAGATGAAAGCGGGAGTCCCTTTTTCTGTTCCGCCTCGTGTTGTTTACCGACGGTCAAAAAACCTTCACGACATGTTAACGTCATCTAAAATTGGTACCCGTAAAGAGAGTGGCTGTGCACCTTGTAACAAACCACGGTGCAAAGTGTGTGTGCACATGCAAACCACGCAAAACGCCGCGAGCACGTCTTCGGACTTTAAATTAAAGATTCGTGGTAGCTTCGACTGCGACACTTATAATGCCGTATACATGTTGGAATGTAGTGCCTGTTTGAAACAATATATTGGTCATACTGAAACTCCATTCAGAATACGCTTTAATAACCACAAATCCCATGTAAATATATTCCCTCATCTACCGCTATCACGACACGTTCGCATGCCGGGCCACTCTTTCGATCAAATGAAAGCGACCATTCTTGAATCTGGTTTCCGCTCAAACCATGATCGCGAACTCCGGGAATCATACCTGATATTCAAGTTCAATACTGTAGCAGATGGTATCAATGAAGATGCAGGCACATTGACGTGTCTTCCTTCCACGTAAGCTTATTGGTCAACAATATAACAAGCGTACGCTAGTCTGCTTCTTTATCAGAGAGTGCGCTGTGCTGATAATGTATACAGAAACAGCGATTCTTATATATATATAATAGAATTATTTATCATCGGCAACGCGTATATTTTACACGCGAACCATTATTGTAAGAAAAGAGCTTTGACATCCGTAATGTCGCGATGCACACGTGTATCCCGCAAAACCGTATCAGCTGCCAATGACTTACAAATGGTGACATCACACAGTGCTGTATAGATATATATTTTTGATCACTGAAAACCGTTTTTGTGCTGATACAGATGAGCCTTGTTCGTTACACAAGAGCATGTGTGTTTTTTGGGGGGTCTCGAATATTGACATATATAAGCGCGCGATTTTTATGCCCTGTATTCCCAGACGAAGGCCGGTCCCACGGTCGAAACGTCGGACTAAACTGTGCTGAAACGTTCGTTGTGTGTGAATTACTCCTTTTTCTATATATATATATATATATATATATATATATATATACACTTTTTTCAAAATTTAACTTTCAGTTGCTAGACAAGTGCTTGTCCTGTTTTCTTATTTTGTGTGTTTGCTTTTGTGTGCTGCCTAATTAGGGGTAAACTGCCTGCTTTAATAAAAGGGAATTGGTCATGAAATCATGGTTTAGGTGGCGTTATCACCCGTGTAAATGACACACAGGTTGATTTAGACACAATTCCTTTACACCAAACGATTCCACGAAACCATGATTTCTGTGCGGTGCATGCTTTTGAAGAGGTGATTGAACGTTTGTGATCTTTAAGGTTACTGTAGGGTACTCTATACACAGGCATTGACATATCAAAATTATCTTATTTTTCGCTCACCTTGTTTGAAACATCTCGATCAGAGAGCAAGCATACTTTAGATTTCTTGAAACTTTAGGCACGTTAATTACACGTGATAAGAACCCTAATCCACTCTTGCCTTGTGCACTGATAATTCGTTTTAGGTTGATTACAAAGCACTCCAGCGTCCTATGCACGCTGTAAACTTGCTTAAAAAGAATTTCAATCACTGCTGCTCAGTCATTGAACTTTTGTGCCAATAGCCGAGACAGTTAAAAACCTTGCATGTATAACCTTTCAGGCTCAAGCTTTGAGAGGTCAGTATTGTGAGTGGGAATTTCTGTCGACTATAAAAGAAACAGGTTATTCCGATACAGTGGCGTGCATCTTTTGTCCGCAGATTCCTGGCTTTTTGAAAGCGGTGCATTGAAAGCGCAATGAAAGTCTTCAGAATACTTTTACTTCTCGCAATCTTTATTAGGTCCTACTGCCAAAATACGAATACATTTTTAACGGTGAATATATTACATTCATTTTCTAATTACGAATCATCAAGTGTCTTTAGATATTTCATGCTTCTGCATTCGACTTTTTTGCCGAAAACCAGTTTTTTAAAACACATTCAAGTTACATCGCTTTAACTATGTCTGTGAACATGAATATTTACATGTCTGCGAACGTGAATACTTCTTAAACCCGAGCTTTTTTTTTAATGTACATCACGTGGTCCCTCTAACCACATTTTGAACCTGAAAAGTTGGAAAACTTCCGCACAGATTACGGATGCACCGTGTGTGGCGTAAACTGCAAGTGGGCAAGTGCAACCGAACGCAGCAGAATATTGAAGGGATGATGAATGTGCAGATATTAATATCAATGAACTCGTCCACACTCTTAGAATAAAGGTGGTAGTACTTGCTAACTTTGGGGTAGTAATGATTTGTCACATATGTTACAACGCCGGTAGTAAGCGCAGTTAGTAATGGTGAGGTTGGCAACAGTTACTATCTTTGCTGTTACTACCAGCATGTAGTAACTGCTACTACCGTAGCAGTTACTACCTATGGGTAGTAACTTTCAAAGGTTTTCAAGAAAAAAGAAGGAGTAACCAACACTACCTAGTTCCATCATTTTGGCTTATTATTTCTCCACTGCTGATGTTGGTCGACCATGTTTCATCACAGAGACAACTTTGGGTAATAAAGCGTGCTCTGCCATGAGCTCGAACAACACACAGACCTAACAAATTCCCTATTTTTTACGTATACATGAAGTACATATAAACGTGGGGTATATATAGCCCATACTTTGCAGGGGAACGTCTGGCACAAGGGAGCACTTGTATTTCAGGATAAGCTATAACAAACGTAAACCTATAGCACTACATTATACTACCCAATTACGTGTGTTTGGGGACGTAGCACAAGACTTTTAATAAGATTTACTTATAAAAATATATACGCCATATTTATTCATTATAAAAAGGCCCACAAAAAGGCAGTATGTACGATAGCCAAAAAAAGGTACCGAACTCCTTTTCAGTGCATTTGAATGCTTCACACGACGAATATATCAGCGTTTAAAAGGTAATAATCGTTTTTGGGATTTGATGCGCCAAAACGACAATAATATTTAGAGGTAGGCCACAGCGGTATAATCGTGACCATCCTCGGGGCTTATTGTGACCGTCTGGTTATTTTGATCCACCTTGTTAATATATGCTGTAATTTATTAGGTGTGTTGTAATTGTCTATTACAACGCTTGTAGCACTTGCTTATGGTTCGTTAACTTGTGCTTCTCCGTTTCAACACTATCAAAACGACGTTTACATTTCTCATTTGTGTAATTTAAAACAAAATGTATTTTTTTGATTTATGGATATCTTCTGCGTCATTTTTTCATTTAATGATATTACGTCGAGACGATTGCTCTCATAAATTATCATAATTGGAATCACACTATTTTGGATTAGATAGCCAACAATCGGGTAGCAAAAAGGTAGTAAAGCGGCCCGAAAGGTAGTAAAGGCAGCAGTTACTACCTCTTTTATTTCAGTTACTAATTCTTTACTAACGTACGTAGTGAACAGGTAGCAAAATGTTAGTAACGGTTGCAGCTAGTAACCGTTTGCTAACGTAGGTAGTAAACAAGTAGCAAAAGGGTAGTAATGGTCGAAGAAAGGTAGTAACCGCTGCAGTTACTGCATTTGCTTGAAGTTGCTACCTTTTTACTAGCTTTTTTAAAAGCGTACAGCAAAGTAAAATGAATATAACAAGTAGAGACATTCATCCTGTACAGAAGAATTGTAGGCTGCTGACGATGATGATGGTGGTGATAGATGATCATGTATGATAGTAGATGATGAATGATGACAAGCTAAGGCTGTGCTCTTGGTTTTTACTAGCCAATCTACCATTTAATATTCAGCTGTTACACTGCAATGATTTAACCTTCAGAGGAATTTCATATAACAATTAAACCTCAGATATTCTACAAATTCTACTTATTCTCTCCTCCCCCCTTTTTCTACAATGTGCCAAATTAATTTCACAGTCAGAACAAAGCAGTCCTATTCCCCTAGTCTGGAAAACCTAAAGGTTTTGACTTGCATTAACCACCGGCTTCTTGGCCGATCACCCTTAGTGGGTGAGAGCCACAAAAGTAAGGATCAAGCTAGGAAGCAAGCTGTGCTCTTGCTGTCTTCATTTACAATAGCCTGTGTTCTGACGATAGTTATAGCGTGAGAACAGAACGACGACAAAGAGACAAGAAATCGTCGTTCTGTTCTCACGCTATAACTATCGTCATGTCATACCAACTAGCCCAAGCTTCCACACTATTAATTGTGTTCACGTTTAAAACTAATTCATTTTTAGTTTTAACACTCCATCGTCTTAGGAAAAGTTGTAGTACGCATTTGCGAGAGGGTTGCTTATTCGTAACCAATATTGGTGAGAAGACAATATTATGAGTATAAGCTTGAGTGGATAATTATTCAGTTACGTAGGTATGCTATTGTGAGATTATATCAATTACCATCTGTTTGATTAAAGTAAAGCAGCTATTTCTGGGTAACGTACGAACAGTTCTTGTTTGAATATTGACGATCGATTGATCACTAACAGTGAATCGAATGCTTGGTTGTCCCATAGTATCCACACCACCTGTCTGTCGACCTCTTATGTTAATCATTGCGGAAATCCAAAACATGAGCGTATTTTTTTCAGTCTAATCAGGGCAGAGTCCCTTCACAGTGGCTCTAATGGCTGTCCCGCGAAATTTGTTTACCTCTACATGGATGTTATGTGTTCGCTTGATGTGTTTTAATGCGATAGCATGAAAGAGCTCGTTTCTTAGAAAATCCGGCGTTAGCGCTGGAATCGTTGGTTGTGAGTAAAAAACCATCACACACCGCGTGGTAAAAAAAAATTAACACGGAAGTAAAATAAATGACAAAAATTTTTGGGTCAGGATCAAAGCCATGCCGTTTGCGGGGAAAGAAAGTGTTTTACGCCCCAGCCACGTGTCAGCTTGGCAACTGTAAAAATAACTTGCTGTGCAATAAAAATGCAATAAAAATGACTTCCGTGATTTACAAACGCACGGGTCCTGTGCACAAGCTTCACAACCCAACAAGTAATATCACAGTACTATTGCGTGGTACAAGCATACATAGCCATCGGGCGTCACAAAACGAGATTACCATAGTTTATCGTTTAAGGCGAACCGCCCATTCCAAAAGGCACACAAGTTAATGGGCGCCCCGCCGTGGAGGTCCAGTGGCTAAGGTACTCGGCTGCTGACCCGCACGTCGCGGGAACGAATTCCGGATGTGGCGGCGGCATTTTTGATGGAGGCGGAAATCATGTAGGCCCGTGTGCTCAGATTTGGGTGCACGTTAATGAACCCCAGGTTGTCGAAATTTCCGGAGCCCTTCACTACGGGGTCTCTCATAATGATATGGTGGTTTTGGGACGTTGAACCTCACATATCAATCAATATCACAAGTTAACGTGCGTATTTTCCTACGACCACCTCGTGGGTGCATAGGAAGTGCGAAAGCGTTTCACACGCATAAGTGCTTGTTGTTTACAGCATGCTACCCATTACACAGAAGTCAGCGTTATGCGAAAGAATCTGTGACACAAGCCACTTTCAACTTTATCCATTACATTTTAGTAATATTCAATGCAAACTTCTTGAGTAACATAATACAATGAGAAACTATGGACTATCTCTCCGAAGGGAAAACTGATGGGATTCAAAGCAGCAGCGCTGTGCACGGCGTTGACCCAGTTGAAACGGGCGTCGACGCGGGTGCTGGAAGAACGGTTTGAAGCGAAACTCTCGAAACTCGGTGTAGCGTTTACTCGAGTAAACGTTTCTTTGAAACGCAAAGACACGGAAGGTGGGACTCACTCAAGACTCTTGCGCTCACCTTCTTTCGCTCGCGTCTCGTCGATGTTATCCTCGCGCCGTCTGTACTCGCGAAAGCAATCAGTGTTCTTACCCTCGTCGGTGTCGCTAGTCTTTCATTGCCGACGCTTGCGTTAGGCTTCTCTGGCTCGCGCCTCGTCGGTGTTGACGTCACCATTCGCGGACGTGATCAGCTTCGCTAACCCTCGCAATGCCGCCGACAGCCGGGAAAGGTACGCGCACACTAGCCGCATGCATGCTGCGACGGCATCCCGTCCGTCGGCGCAGTGGCGCGCTGTCCGCATTGTCAGTGCTGCGAGATTCTAGAAACGTGCGCAGCGCGTGCACTCGCCGGTTCGCAGCTTCTTCTAGTCGACCGATGGAGAGAGGTGGCGCAGGTGAGATGATGTCCACTAAATATGCCCTCGTGAGGAGTGGGCTCGAGCGCGGCGAGTGGTTGAGACGGTCATATACACTAGAGGGAACTCTGGCGCTAGTGTCGGAGGCGCCTCCGGATGATGGAGGCGCCTTCGTCGAGGTCGGACGTGTTTTTGGAGAGCTCCGGAATGACAGCTACAGATAAGTGTTTTTGCATGTTTCCAGCTTGCCTCTGTATGTAGCGTTATGAGAACGTAAGGCGCTAGCGTAAAGCTTGATTAGGTCTAGTACGGTGTACGTTTTTTTTTAGTATTCTGTACTGTGTCTTTTTTTTCTCCAGCCACCACGTGGCTGAGGCCTGCGCGTAGACCGACCACGTGCATGCGCAGGTGCTGTGAAGTGTAGCGTATTTATTTATTATTGTGGTTCTTTTTGGCTTAGACCAGTGTATTTTAGTACAGTTTTCTAACACGTGGGCATCGGTAAACTGAGCTAGCCATGGTCAAAAAGACCGTAAAGTGTTCAGAGTGCGGGATAGGGTGGAAGGTGGAAATTAGTGCGGAAGAGAAAGCAGAAGATGACGCCAAGTGTAGACAGTGCGAGTTCGAGGAGAAAATGAAAAATATGATGGCGGTCCAGAGTGGGCTCATGGAGAAAATCGCAGAGCTGGAGAATGCATTGGCGAAGGAGCGAGAGAAAACGTCAGCCATGGAGGAAAGG